GTAAAAGTAATTAAAATAAGCCAGCCTAAGGTTCTTGTTCTAGTAACCTACATTCTGAAGACCTTACCCATTTCTTTGGAATGGCCTCCCTTTCCTAGGAGAGTGTTCTCTTCTTAAATCTCTACAACCAAGGACGGTTATTTGAAAATGGGAGCTCTGCAGTTAACTTTTTCAGATAGGTCCTATTTGATATTACTACTTGCACATTATGGACTGATGCAATACAAGAAAAGGGAGTTTCAGGTGGAATAATTAACATCCAAAAATGATTAATGCCAAAATGATAATAACTAAACATAAGTCATTTCAACAGACAAGTATATAGACACAGGTCAGTGTTTACTTCAAACCACTAATGTCAACATAAATAGAACAGAGTAAGCATTTTATATACACATTAAGCATATATACACACAGGCTATTATTTCATTTAAAAAACTTCGTGATTATCTACTGTTTGCAAGGCATTTCTTTCTTTAAAATGAAAACTTCTTCAAGACCATCAGTTGGAAGAGATCAGCTCCTTTCAAAATTGTCTGCAGATAAGTGGACATTAATGAGCGTGTGTCCCTGCACACATATCTTTGAATGGTTTGGAAGACGCAAATATCAATTTTGGTAGGAGATACTAGCTTGGAATAAGCAGATTTCGTAAAGAGCCTAAGTTTGAATGTGCCTGATGAAATGCCCTTAAATAATATTCAAGTGGTCAAGAGCTTCAAGATGGGATGGGAAAAACAAAATGCTGGAAGGTTAATTTTCTGGGAGGGGTGAAAACTGCCATCAGAATGAAGAGAAGAAAAGCAGAAGAGAAACAACTGCCAAGTCACCACAGAATTACTGAAGGGATTCCAAAACTGTGGTCCACTGACATATGCCTGGGTATACATAAGTTGTTGATTTTAAATGTTCTTTTCAATTTGATAATAATATAACATCTACACAACATACTCTAGATGTACGTTGTCATATGGTAATCAGTAACCACTGATACTTATATTTAAATTAATTAAAATTAAATGAAATTTAAAATTTAGTTCCTTGGATGCACTAGTCACATTTCAGGTGGTCAACAGCCACATGTGGAGAATGGCTACTGTACAGGGCAGCACAGAGAACATTTCCATCACTGCTCAAGCTCTACTGGGCATAAGTGCTCTGGGTGAGCCACTCACAAACAAGCCATCCTGCTGCTTCGGGCACCACGTCTGAATCTATAATCAAGTGCCAGATAATAAAACACTTATGTGTCAGGTTTGTACCAAGCACTTTTTATGGATAGTCTTACTTGTTCTATACTGCAAATTGATGAAGTAGGTACTATTTTTATCACCATTTTACAAATGAGAAACTTAAGGGTCACAGAAGGTAAGTAACTTGCCAAACGTGATATAGCTATCACATGGCAGAGCCAGGATTTGCACAAAAACCAATGCTCTTAATCAAACATTTTTGTAGAAGGCTAATAAGAAAAGAATATAAACTGATTTGATCTGCAAATGATGCATTCACTTCAAAAGCCATTAGAGGGTGCTGCACCAACAGGTTTTACAAGAGTTTAAGTAGAGAAGAGGTAGAAGACTATAAGCATGCTGAAGGTAAAAGAATCCATGCCCCTGTGCTCAGATCACTGACATGCTGTGAAAGGCAATTTAGTTTTGGCAAAATATCATTTCTCACATTAAAATTAATGTTATTTAGAACTGTGCTGGTTTTATTATCTTTTATAGATTCATTTTGACTTTATAGTTGGACCAAAGTTGCAAGCCATAGGCATTTTTACTTACTTTTATGTTTATACAATTATATAAAATCATAATTTGATTTATCTGATCCCAGAGACCAATAATAACTTTGTTACTTTCAAGATAATCTATACATTATTTGAGGATAATGATCTCTTGACGAACCATTCATGAAGCTTCAGTAAGATTTCAGGGACTCAAATATAGGAATTATATAAGGAGATTCTCTTAACATAGTATTTTTTAAAATGTTTTTATTGATTTTAGAGAGGGAGGGAGGGAGAGGGGGAGAGACAGACATCAGTGAGAGAAAGAAACACCGAATGGCTGCTTCCTGCATGCCCACCAGAGATCGAGCCTGGAACCCAGGCATGTGCCCTGACCAGGAATGGAACCGGTGACCTCTTGGTGCACAGGACAACGCTCAACCAACTGAGCCACACCAGTCAGGGTAGCAGTTAATTTTTTTAATGTAATAATTATATTTTTAAAAGAACCTAAATTGATGTGTACTTTTAATAAATGCCTTTTACATCACAACCTATATTATTAACCTTGATCTACAGAGATGGCAATTGTATTCATAAAACTTCCAAATGGTGACGTTATCTAGGAAGTGCACATATTGTACTTTTAACAACTCTGGTAATAACAGTGTTAACTAGCTATTTGTGAAACTTTAAAATTCATTATCAGCAAAAAGCTCTTTCTGTGTGATCAGAAGGTGATAACCATTCTTTCCTGGACACTGTCAAAGAAGCACACAATTCAAACAATTCACACACACACACACACACACACACACCCCAAGAGGTTGGCTGATAAATGAATGACTCACACCCCTCCTCCCCCTCAAAAGAAAAACCACCTTAAATTTTTTAGAAAAAGCCTCAAGGATAAACTAACCTCTTCATTCTCTAGTTATGAAGGATGGGAACTGCCTCACTCTTACTATCCTCTGTAACAGAAGGGATGGGAACTGCCTCACTCTTACTATCCTCTGTAACTAGAAGGATGGGAACTGCCTCACCCTTACTATCCTCTGTAACTAGAAGGATGGGAACTGCCTCACTCTTACTATCCTCTGTAACTAGAAGGATGGGAACTGCCTCACCCTTACTATCCTCTGTAACTAGAAGGATGGGAACTGCCTCACTCTTACTATCCTCTGTAACTAGAAGGATGGGAACTGCCTCACCCTTACTATCCTCTGTAACTAGAAGGATGGGAACTGCCTCACTCTTACTATCCTCTGTAACTAGAAGGATGGGAACTGCCTCACCCTTACTATCCTCTGTAACTAGAAGGATGGGAACTGCCTCACTCTTACTATCCTCTGTAACTAGAAGGATGGGAACTGCCTCACCCTTACTATCCTCTGTAACTAGAAGGATGGGAACTGCCTCACTCTTACTATCCTCTGTAACTAGAAGGATGGGAACTGCCTCACTCTTACTATCCTCTGTAACTAGAAGGGATGGGAACTGCCTCACCTTTACTATCCTCTGTAACTAGAATGGATGGGAAATCCACTTACTCCAAAGAAAGACTATAAATAAACTGAAGAGTATTTGAGGAAGACAACACACCCCAAATACATTTTTTATGTATCGCCACAACCTATGTCTAGAAAAAACAAAACAACCTTCAAAAATCCATTTTGAAAAAGAGAGCAAAAGAATCTTCATTTGGTCAACAAGCGACAGTGAAGGTTTGACCATACATCTGATGAAAAGTAACCTTAGCTCCCTGGTCTAGAGAAAATCCAAATAGCCTAAACTATAGCTGCTTTGAAGGTAATGAAGAAATCTAGGTTGAAAATGCACTGCCTACTAAAAGTTTGGGCCTGCTTAAATAAATTTAAGCAGCTTTAAAAGCCCGTGCTTTGGTTAGAAGCTACTTGGATGTTCTGGCTCCGGATAAGTTGTCCTTAAGTGTGCTTTAATCCTTAGGTACATTCTCAAAGCGATAGCGCATCGTGTTATACCAAAACCTCATCTTTCCGAGCGAAGGGAGACAGGGGTGCAGGTGCATTTTTTTTATTTCTCCTGATCCAAATTACATAATCCTCCAAACTAATGCTACAGCTTGCAGTCGCTCACACCCCGATTCGGGCAGAACCGGCTGGCCCCCCAGAAAGCTGGGGAGGAGCACGCCCGCCCCTGGACGCCCGGCGGCGGGGTAAGCAGGGATCTGCTCCTGCGCCCCTCGGCGCCGTCCTGCGGCTCCGGCTCCGGGTGGGTTCTCGGGCAGCTGGGCTCCCGCCCGCGAGGAGGAACCGGAGGCTCCACACGGGCAAAGGTCGGAAAGCCCCTCCCGCCCTCCGGGAAGACTAACAAAAGGACGGAGCTCGGCCAGCCCAGCCCACCGGCCCCTCCCGCCGCGCCCCACAGCCGGGAAACCGTTCCAATAGCAGCGCGGGCGCGCCCGGAACCCCGCCCGGAACCCCGGCAGACGGCGCAGCTCCCGAACCGGAAGGAGGGGAGAGGGGAGGGGACGGAG